TGCCTCTCCGGGATGAACCATACAGGCTGCCATTGTCAACTGATTTCTGAAACTACTAGTTGCCTGGCTACACAGCTGATCCCCAATTGAAGCCATGTATTTTATTGTCGTCACGCATACGACTGTATAAAAATTAAAGATGACTTTAAATGGGCTTTTATTATTTTGGATCACTGACCCAGAACAAGTGCACAGAAAAGTTCTGAATTTGGTAGCCAAATGCACCTCTGGGCCAGTGAAGACAGATGAATGCAAAAAAGAGTGAACAATAAAGAGTCAACAGTGCCAGTCCCAGACCCCTGATGAAGTCACGCGTTCTGACGTAACGTACGTAGGGCAGAGCTTCTGATGTCACTGCACTGAGCTGAGCCGGACGAACAGGTTTTTTTGTTATCGCTTTGCTGCCATTTGCCCTGCTGGTCTGATCCAGCAATACCCAATGCCTGCATTGCTTACACCATTGCGAGTACGCATTTTTTTTTATTTAATAAATTGCATGTTATTGGACGTTACGCACTATGTCCTTGTCCTTTTTTCCACCTGGATTTATACTGGTACCTGTGATCTGAGGAGACCTTAATCGCCTTTTCTGTGGATGGGCTTCCCTCCCCCATTAAGGGAAAAAGTATTCCCTCCCACATTTAGGGAAAAGTGCATTTGACCTAGCTCTGTGGGTCTACCTCCCCAGGTGAGCACTCACTTATCACTCACTTGGTGGAGGTGAAGGTCTGCCTGCATTGTGTGATTATCTTTACCTGAGAGTTATATGCAGATTGGCTGCAAATCATCTGAGGAATTGTTTTTGCACAATCACCATTGTTTGCTTTGGTTTTTTCCTTGGGACTTTTTTTATCTATATTGCTTTTGTCTGTGTAGATATTTTCTATGCCTCATATGCGACTCATTTATATACGAGTCAATTAGATATGTATGATTATTAGCTTGGCACAATATTGGTTTTCACATTTTCCAGATATTTAGTTATATCCATAGTGCTTGGTAGCTCTTATTTCCACATTACACTTACTGGCGCTGATCACCTTTATTGTTTATTTTCATGTATTTTATTACTGTCATGTATAGGACTGCATAAAAATAAAAGATATGACTTTAAATGGGCTTTTATTATTTTGGGTCACTGACCCAGAACAAGTGCACAGAAAAGTTCTGAATTTGATAGCCGAAATGCACCTCTGGGCCAGTGAAGACAGATGCATGCAATAAAGAGCCAACAGTGCCAGTCTGCGTACAGGTGTCCTTTAAAGGGTTAAGAGGCCTGTTCAAGATAACAGATTAGGGAAGTCAGCTGGTAAATTGCATTTAAAGTGATTTACTGCTACATTAAGCTGCCCTTGCTGGCAGTACTCGGGAGATCCGGACTCACACCGAGCAGTGTCCTGACCTCCAGGGATGAGACATGCCCCCTGTGCAGGACTCCAGTCAATGTGTATGCTTCCCAAGTGGTTCATTGACTGCAGCGCTGTGCAGGGGGCACGTCAGACTGCTGGAGATCCAAACATCATGTCCTGTTTGAAAGCAGCGGTCTGGACCTCCTGCATCCCCTCTACTACTCCTATCTCAGTCAGATCACCTAAACCCAAAAACACAAATGTCATACACTGCAGCTTAGCAGGCTTTAGTTGTGGCTGCTTCAGTTTTATTTTTTCAGGCCAAGCACACCTTCTACAAATCTAAAAAATACCTGCTGCTAGAAATGGAGTCCCCTTGCAACTCCCTGTGAGCTGAACTGAAATGTCAAACGATGGTTTGGGGCAGCTGATAAACACCTCTCTAGTAGTAGAGAGTGGGGGAGATTAGTAGGAATACTTGTAGGAGAGAAAGAATAATAGTAAAGAGAGAGAAGTAGGGGGGAGAATAATAGTAGTAGTAGTAGTAGTAGTAGTAGTAGTATAGTGGGAGACAGCGATAGGAGGAGAGGGAGAGAGTAGTACTAGCATAGTGGGAGACAGCAATAGGATAGGGAGTGAGTAGTAGTAGTAGTAGTATAGTGGGAGACAGCAATAGGAGGAGAGGGAGAGAGTAGTAGTATAGTGGGAGACAGCAATAGGAGGAGAGGGAGAGAGTAGTAGTAGTAGTAGTATAGTGGGAGACAGCAATAGGAGAGGGAGAGAGGAGGAGTAGTAGTAGTACAGGCATATGTGTCTTGAGTAGTGATGCGCATGGGACAGCCCCCGGCCCAATCAGCTGTGCCAAGGGCTAGTAGCTGCATGGAATGCCCCTGTCAGTGACAAACATGGCTGGCACAAAGCCTCAGCACATCACTAGTCTTCAGCAGGTTGCCCAGATAGCAAGGATAACACGCCACAAACTTGTGGCAGGGTTATATTGTAATCCTTGTTAACTTGCTGCACACATTCCTGGCAAGTTGTAGACTTGCAGAACACTTGCAGCACAAGTTCTAGTTGACACTTTTTGAATTTGTAGCAAATTTGCTTGGCAAGTCTACAACAAGAGTCCTGCAGGTCTTAGCGAGAGCTCTGCAAGCTCGCTGGTCTGGAGACTTGCAAAGCAGACTTGCTGTAATTGTGCAACAAAATTGTGAAGCTTGCCAAGTCATTTTCAAACTTGCAGCTCAATTGCTTGCTATCTGGGTTGAATGTCCAAACTGGAGGAGTCTATTCTGTCTGTTCCGATGCACTCTGATCATTGGACAGAATATATTCCCTACTGTCTGGACATACAGCCCGGAATATTATTCTATAATATCCGTCTATCTATCCTCACATGCAAGTGTTTAATACAGTGCAATCGCTTTATATTGTGCATTGTATTTCAGTGCTGCTTAACAAAGCACCTCCTAACAAAGACTTCCTGTCCCTTTAACTCTCAGGCTGACAGCCCACCAGGAAGCCATGATGATCACCGTTGCAGCTGCAGAAACTCTGAGTGCACAACAACAATACAGAAGGTCAATGGATGCCACCCCCCAGCATTAGCAGCCATCTGCCCGATCTGCTGCTGCCCCCCCAATACACAAGCAGGTACCTTGGGGTCCTTCTCATAGTAGTACTGCTGGGTCCGGATCCATCTGCCCACCAGGTGGTCGCGCACGGTGTGTGCCAGGGCGAAGTAGTAGTCCCTGGTGGTGGCCACATTCCGGTCCTTCACCAAAGTGAAGTGGAGGTGCCTGTTGAATCCTTTCTTCAGCTCGGAGACATTTTCCACCCCGACAATGCCCCGGATGCTGATCTGCTTCCTCTTCTCCTGGTCGGTCAGGGGCTTGGACATGGCTGGGGATGGAGTTCGGGCTGCAGAAGATCACCCAGATGGTCGCAACTTTATAAGAAGTGAGAGCCCAACTTCCCCTGTGCTGACTCCTCCCCTGCTGCTGCTCGATTGGCTGAGGGCGAGGGCTGGGGCGCGCTCTGACCAATGGGAACAGAGCGAGCTGGGTGCTCCTGCGCAGGGTGCCGCCCACAGGCTGGGCTAGGCTGCCTACCTACCTTGGGACTAGAAGCATTGCAACACCAGAAGGCATAGCGTTCCATTAGGGCAGGACTAGTGGGCTCAAGCTGCTGCAGGACTACAAGTCCCAGCATAGAATTCCTTGTTTAAAGTGTATCCAAAGCCATCTGTATTATTTTGCATAGAGTGGGGAAATGGTTAAAGGATATTTAAACCCTCCCATTTTTTTTTTGCATATATCTCCTGCTATCAAGCAGGAGATATATGCAAAAAGTTAAAAAAAAAAAAAAAAAAAACCCTGCTCAAACAGCAGTTTAGACTCACCTGTGTTCCGTGCGCGGTCCCGTGCGAAAATTATAAATTTCTCGAGCGGCGGCAAACGATCTCGGGGGCGGCCGCATGCGCAGTTCTCATTTTCGGCCGGGATGCGACGAGGGACACAAGGTAAGTCTATGGACGCGTGCACCCGCATGCAGACACCACTGGATCGGAGGGACAGAGCAATCAGCGCTGGATCGGAGAGCCGCCGCACCGCTGGAGAGAAGGCTGAAAACATCAGGGAAGAAGAGGAAGATCGGGAAAAGAGATATCATTTAAGGTAAGTGATAACATTAACATGGGGGGCAGGGAAACATTTTTTGCCTTTAATGTCACTTTAAAACCCTTGCCATTTTTTCCCCCCATCTCAGTCATATTGGGGAGAATTCCCTTCACTTCCTGTCCTGAACACACTAAAGTAAGTGAGAGGAAATCTCTCCAATGAGTGGGAAGTTAGTTCAGTTGGCCCCTCAGTGCCCCATTGGAAGATTCCCCCTCTGTTCTAGTTTTGGGGACCCTTTCAGACACCCAGAGCCCATTTACTCCTTCGCAGCGCATTAACATCTTGTTCCTTTATGTTATATGACGTTCCTTCTCGAGCTTGAAAAAGAGGTATCATTCCTCGAAACGGGTTGCTCACTGCCTTTCCACCCCGCCACTACCCTCTTCCCATCACAGACCCGACTGATAGCTGACAACTCTCAGCCCACGGCACCCGTACACTACCCCAGCCTGCGCTGACAGTAACTGAGCAGCACGAGCCGCAGCCGCGGTCACAGCAGCTCTGCCTGCTCCTGACATCGCTGATTCTTTCTCACACCACTCAGCCCCTGGACTCACACAGCGGGCCACGGACTGAGTCCCCATCCCATTGGTTGCTCCTTTTTTCCCCCCCTTTTCCTCCTCGCCCACAGCCTCCCCTCCCCGTGTGGATGCACATCCCCTGGCTCACCAGTTCCAGGCAGATACCACGGATGACCCGATCCTTCGCACTGGCCGTCCATCCTCTGGTCCCGCGAAACGAAATGTAAGTGCTTATTCCTTTTCCTCAGCTATCCTCCGGTTTTTTGCCCAGTGCACCCATTGTTACACCATTCCCCTGTCATTTTCCCTGGGTCTCCCAACCCGGTCAGTTAGCCCACCTAGCGTTGCGCCCTTTTCGATTTTTTTTTGGTTCAAGTTTCCTTTATGTTATAGCATCCCATTGAAATAAATGGGCTGCAGATGCATCCTATTGTTACATACATGTTACATGTGTAACTGCAACGCAGAAATGCAAATGGTCAGTAAGCTGAAAGCTTTTAAAGGGAACCTGTGTTTTGGGCATTCAGGGCAAAGGGACAGGTTCTCTTAAATGCCCTCTGCCAGCATTGCATTTTACTTATCATCCTTTAACTCAGTGGTTCTCAACCTGTGTAACCTCGGGACCCACATACTATGAAAGTGAAGGGAATAAGCCCAGCGGGAGCCCCTATTGGCCACTCAGAAGCACATTTCTGTTATTTTGGTTCATATTAGACATGTGCATTCGGATTCGGACGAACCTGCAAACCAAGGAAATTCAGTTGATTCTGCAGTTCGTCCGAATCTGAAATAACAAATTTATATATGCCCGAATATACTAAAACTATATTCGGGCATACATAAATTCGTTTGCAGAAAACGTGGCATCATATTGGCTGCAGGCGCGCCGCCATCTTTGAGTATATCTTGGTCTACACCAAGATTGTAGCGCCCAATCATATGGTTACCGCCATCTTGGTGTATACCAAGATACACTCAAAGACGGCGGCGCGCAAGCACAGAACGTGCCGGCGGCCGACATGGCCACCGCTCGTTCTGCATTTTTAGCGTGACATCACACGCTGAACGAGAGGTTGCCATATCGGCCGCCGGCACGTTCTGCACAGGTGCGCCGCCATCTTTGAGTACATCTTGGTATACACCAAGATGGCAGCGCCCGAACATATGGGCACCGCCATCTTGGTGTATACCAAGATACACTCAAAGATGGCGGCGCGCAAGCACAGAACGTGCCGGCGGCCGACATGGCCACCGCTCGTTCTGCATTTTCAGTGTGACGTCACACGCTGAACGAGAGGTTGCCATATCGGCCGCCGGCACTTTCTGCGCAGGCGCACCGCCTTCTTTGAGAATACCTTGGTACACACCAATATGTCAGCGCCCGAACATATGGGCCCCATCATCTTGGTGTATACCAAGACACACTCAAAGATGGCGGCAGGCAAGCGCAGAATGCGCCGGAGGCCAACATAGCCGGCGCTTTTTCTGCATTCTCAGTGTGCGGTTTCGGATTCGGAGGCTCGTTGCCTCCAAATCCGAAACAGCAGAAACATTTGTTTTCTTTGATGAAACGTTTTTCGGTTTCATGTGTTTCCTCAGAAAACACATTTTTTTGCAGTGCACATGTCTAGTTTATATAGCTTTATATATAGTGATATAGTAATATATATGACTTCCTTTTATATTTATAGCACTCATTCAACAAACAGGCGGTATTTTGCTAGTGTATGATGACATGCATGTACCAAATGCCTCCATGGCCATGAGCGTGTGTAATAGGAAAGTTAATCTGTAACTGGCACATTCCTGCAACTCAGCATGCAGTTCAAAGTTATAAGCTTAACTATAGGCCTCCGGCTTTACCATAAGGCACACTGTATATGGGGATTTGTATATAGGATCATATTAAAATTGTCCAGCCTCAATGAAAAGACAAAAGGGAAGAAGATTTAAAGGCATAGTGCACCTGAAAAAAAAATGCACACACAGTGCCGAAAGAGAAAACTTTAATTATTTATTTGTTTTTGTGCATTAGAGCAGGATCAGGGCTGCTGTATAGACTGTTCTTCCTGCTCCAGGTCTGTACGGAGGTTACAGGGCCTGGAGGAAGTTGTCAATGGACTACAAGTGTAGGGCTGTGCTCCCCTGAGATTTACGAGTCCCTCTGCTGCAGTGGCAGATAGGACTTGTAGTCTCTCCATCATTTATAGATACTGTCAATGGATCTGTGAACAGACGGTATCTCAAATGAAAAAATACAGAATGCTGCAGGGAGAAGAACACCATAATTCAGGTAAGTGAGGTGTGTGTTTGTGTGTGTTTTGGTGATGTTTGAAGGTGTGGTGCCCTGAATATTGGTGTAACATGAAACATTTTCAGAAAAGTGGAATTACCCTTTAAGGCAGGAGTGGGCAACTCTGGCTCTCCAGCTGTTATGGAATTACAAGTTCCATGACGCATTGCAAGACTGATAGTAACAGGCATGACTACAGGAGGCAGATGCATATTGGGATTTGTAGTTAAAGGACTGCTGGGGGGAGCCGGAGTTGCCCACCCCTGCCCAAAGGGCTCATTTACACTAGTGGGCTTAGTGAGGTCTGGTGGCGGTGGTGTGATGTGCTGTTCAGTTGCTGAAAAACACCACTCACTGCAACTGATGTGAACGAGTCATAAATGGAAGATAAACAGGGTTATTCACAAAAGGGTGAAGAGTTTGGAGAAGGCCGGAGAAGTGAACAATCTAGGCCAAAAAAGCTGATTTGGAAACAATCACCAATTCAGCTCACTTTCCAGTTCAGCTATGTTTCCTAGATCGTTCACTTCTCCTGCCTTCTCCAAACCATTCACCCTTTTGTGAATAACCCTGACAGTCTTTTTCTAGATGTAGAGATAAAAGGGGTCACCTTAAAGGAGAACTATGGGGTTAAGGCTTTTCCCCATAGTTCTTCTTAGGGTAACGGGAGGACACAATTCGCGTCCTCCCGTCACCCTAGGCTCAGTATACCGCGGGCTACAGCTCGCGTTATACTGAGACGCCGTAGCCGTAGCGGATCCTGACATCGATGTCGAGATCCGCCCAGCTGCGTGAGTGACAGCTGGCTCTGCCTATCTAGAGGCAGAGCCAGCTGTACCCGCCCCCTCCCCCGTCCGTTCCGCCAGTCAGCGCTGGCGGATCGGAGTGGGGAGGGGGGAATCCAGCCCCTCCCCTGTCACGGCAGAGAGCCGTGACAGGATCGAGAGGTGAGGGAACCCGGTATGTGTTCGCTCACCTCCCGATCTACTGAGCCGACCTGTGACAGTCTCATTGTCACAGGTCGGCTTGAACTATGAGGTGAGTGAAAAGCACTTACCTCATAGTCCTCCTTTAAAATGCATCTAACCCCAATGACAAAAAATGTAATGTATTTTATCTTACTAGTCCTTAGATGTGAATGAATCACATGATAAAGCTCAACGTTTCTCATAACCTCCCAATGTGTAACAAACAACAAATATTGTGTAGATAAAAAACAATGTGTAATATACAGTATAAAAAAAATGTAACCTACAAGAAACAATGTGTACAAACAATGAACGATGTCCTTTTGGTTATTTAATAACAGTGCAAAACTATAAATAAAAGTCCAACTGATTATAAATAAATATCAGTCTGTGTTCATCTTCTTGTGAATCTATCCTCCTTCACCTGTGATAATTCACCCCACACAGGCCCGGTGCAGACCCAAGCGAGATCGCACGTCCCAGGATTGCGCAGTCCTGCACAATGCAGACAGCGA